AAGGCTCGCGGAGAAAGACGTCGAATCCCGCACAGGGGCCAAGAGGACGGACCCGAAGTAGCAACGGAAGGGGAAGAAGACGTCAAGCCAAACTACGTGAGGAAGAAGAGGAGTAGGAACAGGAAGACAGACGCGAAGACGAAGACGAGGAAAAAGGTGAACAACGCGAGGACAACCAGGCCATCCCTAAGCGGGCGAACAGGAGCGGGACGAACGCGCGGGTCACGAAAGGCAGCAAAAAGAGAACGGGAGGAAGGAGAAGCCATCCCTAAACGGGCGAAGGACCAGAAGACGGGCACGCGGAAGAAGAAGGCGAGAAAAAAGAGAAGACGTAGGGTGAGACGTCACTATGGTCTGATGGCTTTCTTCCCTTTAGTGAAACCTCGTTCCTGATTAAATGTGAAATTCCGCTGTTCTATGATCAGCACGCTGAGGTCAAATTTTCCGACAGAGCCGGCCCGGGGTCACACAATGGGTACACCCGAGGATTCCCCACGAATGGGGTGTACACACTTGAACTCCAGATGGAGAGTGCTAATCTTTCGAGTACAACTGATGAGTCTCGAGTACAACCGACAAGTCTCGAGTATGATGAGTTTCGGCTCGCAATGCACTTGGCTTCCCTCTAGTGTCGAAACGTTACGAGAAAGAACAAGAAGCACAAACAGCGCCGCAACCAAGGGGCCAAAAGGACTTTCAGAATCACTGAAGCAGGTACAGGTGTCCACGTCTGGACACCCTTCCCACCTTTGGCAACAGCTTCATTGCGTGCAGTATGCCAAAGGTGCTGCACGCCCCTGCTGCGAAACCGAAAGGGTGGTGACAGGGCATTCTGTCACTCCGCACACACACACACACACACACACACACACGCAGAGAGACACACCCGTTTCCGCCGCCGACGCGATCCCACGGGTCCAAAAGCGCGCCTGTCGGAGGGCTCGTCCATGGCCGTGAAGACCTGCGAAAAGCGAGCGGGTACGCGACTGAGGCTCGGCGAGTCAGCGGCAGGATGTGCTCTGAACAGCTGGGTAATTGACCCGTCGTTTTTAGACACCCCCCCCCCCCACAAAAAAAAAGGAGGAACCCCACAAAAAAATAAAATGGGAGATGTTCCTCTTGATTCGTTTTTGAAAGCCTGACTCGAGTCGGTGCCTCGTGCCTCGTGCCTCGGAAAGGTGGGCCCACTCTGGGCAGGTTCTGAAGGTTGCAAGATTCAATGTCAGCTACAGCGGAACCCAACCCCATTCCCGTTTCGGACCCAAAAAGGGGTTGCGACTCTTATCGGAAAGTGTGTCTGCTTCAAGGTTGGACAGGTCCAAAATAGCGGGTTTTCCCATTGGCTTCCCCTTACCCGCCAAAAACAGGTATCCTCAACAAAGGCAGATCCAGTTGTCCGGCGAACCAACCTTTGAAGCACTTGGATTTCCCCTTTGTCAAGTTTTCACTTTTCGTGGTTCCTTGTGAAGCTGGGAATTGTCCATGTCCTTTGTGAGGGTATTGGAGCAGCACAAAACCCAAAGAAGCAGAGTGCCTAGCCTTCAGCCTCGGGCCCAAAACCCAAGCCTCGCCGCCCACATGGCTGATCTCATAGCCTGGCAAGGTGGTCTCAGGTTGAGCTGTTGTTGTTGTTTAGTCGCCCGGGCTTTTCACTGGCTCAGCACAGGCGTCTCCTCATAAACAGGTTGGCTTGGGGGGTCTGAGGTTGGGGGTGGTTGGCCAGGCTTGGTTCGTCGCATCCACATCACCGGCCTCGCTCGGACCTAGGGCTGCATATTGGCTTTGATTTGGCAGTTCAGAGTTGCTCGCTGCTTTGGGCTCGCTAAGATCTTACTGAGGGCAGGTCTTGAGTTGTTTGGGGTCCTGGTTTAGCAGTGGCTTTAGAGGTTTGGCGCAACGCCCCGCGACCAATCCCAAACTGGCCCAAAACTCAAATACCCACACCCTAAAGCAACCCTAAAACTGCTGCAAAAACGAGCCGTACACATACACCCAAATCAGCTCCAAGCCAACCAAAACCGACCTCAATTCAACCCTAAACCAGCCTGGGCGTCAGCACCGAGTAAGATCTCAGCAAGCCCAATACTCACCCGAAACCACAACCAACCAACCAACCCACCAACCAACCCACCAACCAACCCACCAACCAACCCACCAACCAACCCACCAACCAACCCAACCAACTCATAGCCACCCGCGATCAACTCTCAACTGCCACCAAATTACATCCAACATGCAGCCCTAACATCAAGCAACTGGGGATGCTGGGGATGCGGCCATCCAGCCAAACAACCAACCAGCCAAACAACCAACCGACCAAACAACCAAACAACCGACCAAGCAAGCAAGCAACCAGCCAACCAACCAACCAACCAACCAACCAGCTGACCGGGGTTAAGCCCGGCTGGTCTCGCGGGAAAAAACCCGAAACATGTCGGTGTTCCCCGCATGTGTGTTTGCTCTCACTCTGAACATCCACAGGTCTCCTGGAATTCTGCCAAAAATGAAAATAGCACCCCAAGAAGCAAAGCCGAAACGCAACTCGAATTCCTTTGAAAAGGTTCCAACCAAAAAGCGCCCAGCACATCGAATGGGCTTGACCGGCGAACTCAACTCACGGATGACCGACAACTTCAAACCAACCGCTAGTTGGGTGTGTCGCTTCTTGAGGATGTCGTTTTTTCCGGTTGGGTTGAAAGGAAACCAAAAGGAAAACCACTAGAATGCTACTTTGCGACAAACACAGTTCCCTTTTCAAGGTAACCCAAAAGAAGGCGACGTCAACAGAGTCACAACAAATACCTGGCAGAGGAGTCTACCCATTTTTTTGGAATCGAAACGGCAAACATCTACCCGCACCAATCTGATTGTCCCGTGCCGGGTGTTGAAGGTGGCCTGTTCTAACATCTTCCAAGGGCTTGCCAAGGCGACTTCTTGAAAAAGAAAGAAAAAAACAGAAAAAAAAAAAAAGAAGAAAAAAAACGAGAGCAAGAAAAGAAAGCGATGTGTTTCCCTGGCCATTGGCTTATTTAGGCCAATCCCAGATAGAAAATCCGTCTATTTCCGTCGAGCCAACCGAGGAAAACCACAGCTCGCTTCCAAGGCTTCGCCGGGCCCACGGCGCGGGGCCCCCATGGCCTGCGCGCGCCTTTCGCCTTTCGACGCCGGAAGTCCGAGACTGGTTTGGTTGGCCGCCGGGTGGGTCAGGTATATATGGGTATGGCTCAAAAAACCGGTACTCAAATGGAACCCTGGTAAGTGGAACCATGGACCAAAACCTGCGTAACCCTAGCTCTTAAATTTTGAGCCACAGCCATATGGCGTTTCCAGTCATGGACCAGACGTGATAGCTTCTGATAGCCACAAAAAAATCCTCCGGGTTGAGTGGGTCAAAAATATGGCCCTAAAATGGGAATGGTAAATGGAAACATGAACTAAACCTGTGGTCCCATGGTGACTTAATTTGGACCCACAGCCATATTGTCCTGTTCCCTGGGTGACTTTTCCAAGACCCATGAGACAATGTTGCCAGAGCTGCACGTGCGGTCTAAGACTAAGCGCCTCGCGCTAGTGCACATCAATCGTATGCTGTTAAACATGGATCCCGCAGCCCCATCCGACAAAGTGAGGCTAAGCTTGAACACCCTCCTAAATGGCCCGGAGGGGCTGTAACACCCTCCTACATGTATATATATATATATATAATTATATATATATACATACATATAAGCACCAAAATCTATGCATACAGTATAATGTATATGCTATGTTAATATATAATATACAGTCAAGATAGGGCAGCAGCACAAAACACTCCTTGCTGGCTTGGTTAACCAGTGTGCCCGGCACACGCACACACAACGCCTGACCAAGAGGGGGCTGATAGATAGCAACTGGGATACAGCCAGGGGCACAGGTGTCCCTTCTGCGAAAATGGACGGATGTCCCTGGTAGATTAAACAACCAGGTCAACCAAAACACCCAAAACACCTCACCAAAAAAAAGGACACCTATGGTCAGGAGCTGCCCAAAAGCTTGGGGCCAAAAGCCACACCAAAGCGACTCGAAGCTCAAATGATGTCGTGTCAATGCCTGCCAGCCAAAAACTGTTCAGCATGCCTTCCGAGCATACCCCAGACGCCCCATGCAAGGAATCCTTATCATGGAAGGGGTGGGGTAAGGCATGCTCGAAAGGTCGTGGATGCCAACATGAAACGAAACATATGTATATACAAATATATGCGTATACATATAAAAATATACACGCAGAGTCACACATGCATACACCCACACACACACACACCACATAGGTCTCCATTTCGAAAGCTCTAATAGATTGACCCGAATTGCTGATAAGCGTGTATGCATGCACATACAAGACACATAAATACCAGTCTCTGAAAAAGATACTGTACGATTAGTAAAGCAGCCAAAGCACATCCAAACGACTACCCGCTTCCCTCATCGCTTGGAGACCGGCCCCGCCTCGGTCTTAGGCCATGTGCACTGTGCGCTTTCCACCCTACGACAAGCGAGGAGGGATCTCTACGCGAGAATTTTCTGAGAAAGCGTGGCTGGTCAACTGATGGTCACGTAGCACTCACCCGCTGGTGATGTGTATAATAGTCCGCCGAGCTAATGGCACCTGAAGAATCCAACAGCAAGTGTCTTTGATCATTTGTTGGTCTCCTTCGATGGCACTGATGGAGATCGAATGGGACTCAGACTCCGAACCCAAGTGCCAGAAAGAATGACGGCACAGACCCCGCTTTGCGGGCTGTGATCTTGCCTTTGAGCCATGAAACGGGCAGTTGCCTGTCTCTCTGAGGCTGCATGGGCACAAACTGCTCAATGCGCTCAGCGCTTGTCACTCACTTCCGTGCCTCCTTTTCCACGGCACAATAAGAATCCGAGTGAAACCAACGAGTGTCTTCTTCGGGGAACCCGGAACCTCCGAAAATGGTGGTGCTCCTTTGTTTCCCCTTGACAAAAGAAAGGGAGTACCCTCAAAGAAAGACACCCCAACCGCACGCCTTGAACGTGAAGACCCTAATTGCTCGAAATTCGCTGGGCCGAGCTTCACGTCTGGCTGTCCGCTTCGTCCACTTCGCTCTCATCCAGTGCCTGCAAGTCAGCAAGGAGGTTTGACTGATACAAACTAAAGTACTCCACGGCCTCACCTTGGAAACAAAACTGCTCTGTATAGCGTATCGCCAACTTTGGCTTCGTCTGGACTAGGCAGGGCAACCCCCACACATAGGCATCATGTCCTTACTAAAGGAAATCACCTTTGGAAATCGTGGGGTCCGCTAGAGTAGTCCGAAGTTAATCTTCGAACAACTCGGAGCTTGAGACCTTGACTGTCTCCTGGGTTCACCGGGGTGTCGCAACTCTTGTATTGTCATCCGCTCCCAAGAAAAACACAGCCGCCTCCATCATCTCGTTGAACTCTGCGTCTTTCTCCGCGTCGCTCTCCATGAACTGGCCTCATCGCGAGAGCCGGATGGCAGCAAAGCAGGGGAAGGTCTACGGGTGTGGCAACACCATCCCTTAAGCGGCTTCCCCTACTTTCAGCCAGACCCGTTCGGATGTTGCGATGGCCCCCGAAAGAAACGGTAGCCGGAAACCAAAGGGGAACCACCTTGCATTTGGGGTTCAGGACATGGGGTACTCACTGAATTTAAGCCGCAAAAACCAGTGCCCTCTTTTGTGTAACCTTTTGGGGCCGTGCCAAGTAAGTTTGATGTTAGGGGAGACAGGGAACCCTATAACGAAAACTCTGGATGAATGATATCCTGTATCTTTTCGAGGGTTCTCCTTAGGAGTTTTCCCATTTGTTCAAGAGGAGGAGCCTTCCTATTCTTTGAATATTGCAGGTGGGAAGGGAACCGGGAAGGGTCTCCCAAGAATAGGGGGGACCCGCAAATGGAAACGTGTATTTTGAGTTCCTTTTGTTGGGTGATTTTCAATTTCGACCACCCGTTTTGGGGGTTCCCTCAAAAAGACACAATGGACTAATTATAGACCAGCTTTGTCCACTGGCATCGAACCAGCTGCCGCGGTTTTTCCGCACGCAGAGATCCGATCTGGGGCCCTCACCGTAGGCCTCCGTGGATTCCTGGAAAAGCATCCGGCAAGCCCTAAGAACAGGCCGAAGGGTTTACCCCAGTTCCAAACCCTGGTGCTGTCAACCAGGTCACTTGAGACCGAACCCAGAGCCCTTGAAACTTTACAGGCAGTGAAGGGCGTCCAATCCCTTGCTTCCTTGCCACACCAAAATCCCCAAACCCGAGAAACACGCATGCCCCCTCCACGAATCCGCCGCCCGGAGTGCGGATGGCGCCTCCGGCTCCTGGGCAGACCTCACGCCACGCTTCTTGCGATAGCTTGCGGGTTCTCAGGAAACGACCCATATAAACCATCCCCTATGGCTCCCTTTAAGAGGATAACAAGGTTCAATCCCAAAACCCTGCACTCAGAGAATTGGCAGCGCTTCCTGTGGTTGGCGGACATCCCGATTTGTGGACACCTTTGCTCCAATTCGGCACGAGCTGTCAAACCCTCAAACCTGGGAGCGGCGCTTCGGCGACCCTTTTTCATGGGCTTGAACAAAGGGGCGAGATTCCTCGTGTGCAAGCGATCGGAACCTTTCCAATGATGGAAGTGGACAGCAGGCTTTGCAACCATCACCTCAAGACCTCCGGTCCACTATTGAGAACCCATTGGGTTTTATCTATGGCCCCAACTCCCCATCCTCTTGCTCCAAAGACTCAAGCGCCGCCTGCGCCTGGAGCAGGGAAAATCAGATGGTTGATTCCGGTCCATATGGGCAGGGATTTGAATGAGAGACCCTTTCGTGGACATCTTTTACGTGGACATCTCATGTCCACCAGCCACTGTTCGAGGTTCCCTATCCAAATGTGCAGCCATAATTGGCAAGCGTTGAGATGCAACGTGGTTCCAAAAGAGACACCCCACCCCACCCCACCCCCCCCCCCACCCCACATACCTGCTAACCTCGACTCTGACGCTTGGGCCTGTGCTCAGTAGGATCTTATTCTGTGAGTCGAGTATATGCCTTCGCTTTTCGAAAAACTCGCCTCGTGTTCGCTAGAAACTCCCGGAAGCAAACCCCACAGACCAGTGGCACCGGGGAAACAAGGGCACCCTTTCTTTGGCAGTTCACTTAAAAGACGAAAACGGGGCCCCCCAGGGTGGGCAAAACTCCCAAGTCCAAACTGACAAACTTAAACCATCCAACTTACAAGTTTTCAAGCTTACAAGCAAAACTTAACTTACAAAAAGACTTGTTTGACCTCAAATATCTAATTTACAAACTTGCAAACCGCGCAACGAGACCGGCATGGGCGTAGCCATCAAAAGGAATACATCGAAAATGGCCGAAAAAGGCCACTCCCAGCAAAAGACCTAAGGAGGTCAGGTCCAGCGTCACCAAGGGAAACTCCCATGTCAATGTGTTTGGGTTTTCCTTCCTAGTTTCCATTTAAACAAAATCAACCAACCAAAAAATTCGGTGAACAAGTCAAAAGCTTGTTCTTCAGCCACTGAAAAGGGACTCGGGAGTTTGGGACCTTGGCTGATTTTGTCTCACTCCTTCGAGCCCCTCCCCCGAAATCCAAACCCAAAAAGGGTAACCCCCCCCCCCCACCCCCAAAGGAATAAAAAAAAAGCAGACCCAGTGGAAAGTGGGAACCAAAACGTGTCCAAAAGAACTTTCCGCCTTCCAGATCGTCCGACCAGGCCATGTGAAGAAGGGGCCCCGCCCAATTGTCGAAACATATCTTGGGACACATGCCCCGTACGCTGGAAAGTAGATTCGGGTGGAATGTGTAGGTAGAATATATATACATATATATATATATATATATATTTCTATATACATTATATGGGTGTCTCAAAATAGAGGACCCCTTGTTAGATAGTTTTAAAAGGAAATCAACAAGGAAACCACCTACCTGGAGGGGTCCCCAATTTTCAGAAACCTCGCACCACATCGGAGAAAGCTTGGCTTGGGTGGTTTTGCCCAATCCCACCTGGTGGCGTGGAGCCCGGTGGATGGGTGGTTAGAACAAAAGGTTCAAATCTCCCAACCGCCAATCCAAGTCGCCAACTGCTTGGGAGTCTTTTCTCTAAACGAAAACCGCCCAAAACTGACGGTGGTCCTCTTGGTGTCCCCCCTCAACCCACCGAAAAAAGGGGGGCAAACCCCCCAAAGAACCAGCCAGACTCCCAAAGTTGTTGCGCTTTTCTCCCAGCTCGTTTTTTTGTTTTGTCCCCCCGGGCCTCCGCCTCGCTGCGCAGGCCCAGCTGCGGAACCGGCTCCGGGGCCGCCTGGAGGCAAACCCCCCCGGCGTTTTTGGCCGCGGGAGACAAAGAGATAAGCCCTGGCGTGGGAGTGGTGGCTGTTTTGCATTCCCTGGGATTGGTTGGAAGGGAATGCAAAAGAACAAGTCCCAAAGAAGTAAGAGGTGTCCATGTTCGAGCAAGGAAGAACAACCAGCATGTAGAGGTTCCCCTATTGTTGAGACACCCCCATAGAAACAACAAGCCGTGGCTCATCCCCAAACAGCAACCCCCTTTGCACCCGACGCTCTCAGCCGCTCACTCCGAACCACTGAGGAGCCAAGAGATCCCAAGCTTTCCGCTGGGGAAAAAACTAAAAAAAAAAACGAGAAATTGAAAGTTTCCGGAGGATTTCTTTCTAGGATTTCTAGGATTTCTAGGATTTCTAATATTTCTAGGATTTCTAGGTTTCCGGAGGAACTTTCTGACTGAAAGAAATCCTCCAACTCTTCCGGAAACTGGAATTGACAGTCAGGCAGAGAATACTAGAGGCCCTGGGCCCTAGTCTGTCTTGTGCCCAAGCGGAAGGCTTCTATCAGCCTTCGAAGGCAAAAGTCCAGGCTCAGTCCAAACCACTCTGATCGCAACAACGATATCTACTGGAAAATCCACAAGAACTTAGCCAAGTAACACTTGCTCAAGGAATCCCTGCCAAATGGTCAGTGAGTCCAAACCTCTTGGCATTTTGACACCTGGGAAACCCCGCAGAGTCCCCTCGTTTGCGCTTGGTTCCCTTGCAAAATGGCGAACCGGGGCATCCGTACCAAAGCCTTCCACCAGCAACCGCCATCGCCATCACGCCTGCAGGTGGGCTGGCAGCGACAGGCCCTGCGTCAGCAGCATCTGACGGAACGCCTGCGGGAAGCAAGCCGCAAAGGCGCAAGCAAGCGGCCTCCCTCTAACCTTGGCACCGAGTGCCTAGGACAAAACCCTCATGAAAACACCCAACTCAATTTTCCTGATCATGTTATTTGATGATGCTCAAGGAGGCTTGAGGCCTGGCTCTTCTCCACTGGACGCAAAAGATCCGCGCCCGAACTTCCAAGGAGTCAGGGCCCATGTATCAAGACTCGGAGCCCAAATGCCAAAACCTTCGGCGCGAAGGCTCGGAGATTCGGAGGCGTGTCCCTCCGCAACCGGCATGCTGCGATTGGTTGGCCCCCCAATTCTTTATGAGAAAATAGAAATAACTAACAACAGACTACCAGTACTGTTGTCCGTGCCTCACATCACCTTTGGAATTTGGGGTTGCCCCGGGAGAAAAAAAAAACCTCTCCCCTGCTTTCCCAGGAGTATCCAGGATCCAATCAACGGAGCTTCCACACAACCTCCATGCCCACCTCCCAGCGCGCACCTCCGTGCGTTGCAGCATGTGTCGGAAGCCCCGGCGCCGGCTGAAGAGACCTGGCGGGACTCCCCAAATCAAAAACTCCTTGGCTTCTATGGAAAACAAGTTGGTATTGAACAGATGGAAACACTCCTTGGGTTCGGCTTTGAAAGGTACGGGAAAGAGACTTTGAAACCATCCCCCTCGTCTTGTTGTTTATTCTCGTTTTTCTCGGTCTCCCCTTTACAACCCCAAGGGCGCCATCGAAAATCGAGACACTCATTCGACTCATATGAGGGGTTCTCAAACATCGGATTCGGACTCATATGCCAGGACTCGGAGAGTCGGTTCCTCTTTGGGTTGGTATACGAAGAAACAAAAGACGTACCCAGGCCATTTTGTTCTTGATTGGAATCAATCCCGTTTTCTGGTTGGGGACTGGCCTGTCAATGGTCGTGATTCGGATCTCGCTGCTTATGTTAAGCAATGTTTGTGCAAGATGGTTGACCAACCGGCCTCGACACTGCACGGGGGTGTGTCCAACTAGAACCCGCAAATGGGTCCATGTGAAAGAAAAGAACAGGGACCACCTTTCGGGGCTCGTCCCTCCCTCCCCCGCACTTCGATCGTCTGGGAATCGCTAAATGGCTAGCTTTGCCCTGGTTGCAACATTAACCCCCCCAACCCCCCCAACCCCCTCAACATATAGCCCCCCTCCGTCCGTCCAACCAAACCCCCCAAGACTCCAGCCGTCCAAAGGCGCAGTGCCCAGCTCCTGGATCGCCTCCGCTAAGTCCTGCGATCCGAACACGTCCCGAAGCCAAGGACGCTGCGGGGGTCTGGCGCCTGGGAGAAAAAAAAAACAACGACGCCCAAACCACCCGGCAGACCCCGCAAAACACCCAAACCAGCCCGGAAAGCACAGAAGCGCCGGAAATTGGGCGGTAAAAACACCCTACCAGTTGAATCAGCCCAGGTGGTATCCCCAACAGCCCAAAGGGGAACCCCTGAAACCGAATGTCCTCTTGAACCCTCCCTGAAAGCTGCCCCCAAACCACCCCAGAGCAAAACTGGGCAGAGACCCCATAGCTTTCAGCTGTTGACGAAAAACTCGGGCCTGCCCTCCAAAATCTTGGGGGTAGCTGTGTCGGGGAAATAGATGGATGTTTCTGGTAGATGAAACGAGCGACCAGGAACTGCCATCCGTTTCCCGAAGCAACCAAAAGGGCATCTTGGCCGTTGGCCCATTAAACCTCTTGATTTCAGGATGGATTCGACACCTGGCTTTTCATTTGAGAGGCAGATAGAAATGATTGAATTCCCGAACTGGAAAAACCACGCGAAGCTCGTGTTTTCCCCAGGCGAGCTTGTTATGACTTGCCCTGAAATCTGCCTCGTACAGGACACGGGAAACAAAAGCATCCGTCTCTATGTCGTGTGCGAGTGCTTTTCGGGTTTGTCAACGTCCCCAGAGCACAGAAAGTGCGGAACAAAACATCCTGGTATGAAGCCGGGGCAAACAGTCATGACTTGGCTTCCCCTTACTTGGTGGCTTGGATTGGTGGTGTGGAAAAATTACAGGGTGCTGTCCCATTCAGTCTCTACGGGGGTTCAGACCCAACCAATCCAAACCACCGAGCAAGGGTTACCTGACCAGCCCCCTGAAAAGCAACAGAGGAGAAGAGCACTTCGCCTCAAAGCAAATGGATGCAACAGCAGCACAAGTGCCCCAAAGTGGCGGTGACAAGGAACTGGCTTTGTGAACGTGCGAGGCACATAAGTCTGAAAGAAAAGAAGAAGAGGAAGAAGAAGAAGAAGAAAACGGGTTCGTAAACATGAGCAAGGCATCCAACTTCAGGTCAAAACATGCCGTACTGATTCCCATTTGCCTTGCCTTTGAAATGTTCAGTGCCAATTTGGCAAAGGAGTCGCGAATACTTCCTTGTCCACGAGTACGACACTGCCTGGTCATCCTTTGTGAATCCCGAAAACCGCCCTTCCTACGTCCGGACCCGCAGACGCGCCCGTCCAAGTCGGTGGGACACCTTGGCTGAGCCACGAGACCTTCGCCACCCGCCCGCGACGCGGCCGGGTCCTTTCCGCCCTGGTCCCCGTCGTCGTACATGTTGAAGACCCGGCCCCGGGACCCGGCGCGGCTCACGCCTGCTGAGATCTTCCCCATGGGAAGGGTTTGGGGAACCCAGAAGAGAAACGCGGGAAGCCTCCTGAGGAACCCCCCCCCCCTTTTTCTTGAATCACTCGTTTTAAGGGTGTGTTGTTTTTAGGAATCCCAAAATAGCGCAATGGGTTGCCTGGTTGGTTTCCCTTGAATAGGAAAAAAGTAAGCGCAAAAAAAGAGAGGCCCACTTAGCAATTTTCTTTGGATCTCAAACGCCTCTCGAAGCGGGCGGCAACCAGCAAAACAAGCCAGTCGCACGGCCCGAGCGCAGCAGGTGGTTGACGACATTCCTGGCATCTGGCCACTTGCTGCGCAAATCACCGGCAGATGGGCTTCCCTTTTTTGGAGGGTACCCGTGCTTGGGGAGGTTTTAGAGGGAAAACAAAAGGAAATCCAACATATTGGGGGGCCCTGAAAAAAAAGACGCATTAGTCACATCCCCAACCGCGGGCCAGAGCTTGCTACTTCTGGCATCGCTTGGCTGGACTCTTGTGCCAAAGGCCCACGCAAGATTACGAATGTTTCCCCAAACATATCTGTTCCTGTCCTTTCCCTTGCTCCCATCCGTCTCTTTCACCGTTCCAAATGAGATGAATGACTAGAGGTGTCCATGAGCAAGCGAGGGGATTTTATATAGCGACTAACCGACCTGCATCTCCAGCTTGCCAATCCTATCTATTGATCCCGAAGATTGGTACAGCGGCGGCGGTGGTGTCCCTCCTCGTAGTCTCGTAGTCGTTGCTTCGGCAGTGTCCCCGTAGGTTTTGCGGTTGGAATGTGGGTTATCCCTCCTCGTCCTCAAACCAACAGTGCACTTGGTAAGAAGGTTGTACCCATGGCTACGAGTCAACCAGCCATTCTCCCACTTAGCCGTCTTCTTGCTGAACACAGGTTGAACATCCAACTGAGCCACGTGGCAAATCCTCAGAGCAAGCAATCCGCCTGGCGAAGTCGAACTGAATCACCTGAGCAAGGTGCGGCCAACTTCTATGGCCATTTCAACGGCCAAGTGGACACAGCTGCGATGAAAAAGCACCTCTCCGAAAACACATCTGGCATCCTGGTGCAAATCCTCAAAAGAAGACAAGAAATAAAGAACAGCGCGGGTGCTCCAGATTTCACGGGAGCGGCGGGAATGGCACAGAAAGGAAGCTGGCGTCTCCCAACCAAAGGGAAAGCTTGAAAGCCTCTGGCTACGCTATTCGCCGAGGAGGAAAAGCACTTAGAGTTCAGAGATGCGGCAATGCTCAAGCCAGAATCTCTAGTCAAAGCACTTTTTAAGTGGGCTACAAACATGATTGCCACGGGGGCTTGCCCAAGTTGATTAATCTACACTGTGGTGAAAGCAAATGGCATCGAATTGTGTCAAAATAGCCTGACCCCCCAAAATGGTGATTTCCCGGTTGGTTTGCCTGAAAGCGTACGTCCAACAAAGACACCTACCCAACTGGTGGGTGTCTTTTGCCGGGTGCCGGGCATTGGTGAGGTCGGGAATGTCAATGCCCCGTGCCAGCAGGTCAGTGGAGACCTGAGGGAGAAAAAAAGTTCACAGGTGCTTCTTTTGTTGAGGCGGAAAGGTACAATTGTCAGCACTTTTGGGTGATTTCTTGGAGTTGAAGTTCTGCAGCTTTGGTCACCTCCCCTCAGAGAATTGGCATGAACCCCTTTCTTTTCCAGCGTGCGCACGAAATAGTGTTTCTGGGGAAGAGAGCCGAAGGTCCAGAACTCCGAAAATATATTTCGACAACTCTAAACATGGATGGATTTCCCGGGTAGATTCTGAAACCACCAGGTCAACCAGGAATCGCCGTCTATTCAACCAAACCAACCAACAAGGACACCTGTGACTCTTCATATTTGGAAGCCTCACACTCCTTAGTTCACTTAACCCCAACATGGTCGAAATTCCCTGCTGGACATGTTGACCCCGGATCAATAAGCTGGTTCTATGAACAGGGGGGGCCGTTTTCCTCCAAAAGTGTTGAATCCCGACTAACAGGGCACACACACACACACCTTATTCATCAGCCAGGGGTTCATTCATCGGGGCCAACATTCAATGCTGTTCAGTGCATTTAAGGCCCGTGTTGCCACGGAGCCCCCCCCCCCCCTCTCCCTCTGCTCGCTCTGGGCTTCCCCCACCATCAAAGTCACCTCGCCCTCCCGGAAGAGGCGCAAGCGCTTGCGCCGCTCGTCGTTGCCGATCTGCTTCACGAAGATGCCGATCTGGCCACCGCGGACGCCCTACTGTGGACAAAGGAAACATCCGCGGAGCGCGCAACTTTTCGGATGGGCGACAAGTTGCGCGAGTCAAGAAAAGTGGCGGAGAAGCCAGCAATCAAACTGGCGCCACATCGGCGCGTAAACATCCAAATCTTTACCCTTTTTCAACGCTTTGTGCTCTTTTGTTTTTCACAGGCAGACCAAAGGGAAAACCGGGCAAGGGAGGCCGATTTCCCCCAGCCCCCCGCCCCCAAATGGCATCCACACGAACGGAAGGGGTGTTATCCAGCCGCTTCGCCTCGCCTTCCGGAAGTTGTGGGTGGTGGCCAGCAGCTCCGCCAGCCTGGGGACCAGAGGATCGCATCGGAAGCAATCGGGCGAGGAGCCGAATCCCTTGTGGCCGTAGATGTGGCATTCAACTCGTCAGGGAAGCCGAGCTTCTGTGTCACCATTGTGTCACCATTCAAGAAGAAAGCCAAAGCCGAGCTTTGAGGTTTCAACCCTTGAGGTTTACCGACATCCGCCCAAAGGCCGAACAGGTGCACCAACCAGCGCGGGTCACAGCAAAATCCATGCCACAGAATTCTCCCCTGCGACTCGGACATCTACTTTTCCTGGCCCAAGGCCTTTCCCTGGCCCAAAGTGCTTCTTGGGAAACGGCCCAACTCCGAGTCCGCGGCCCTTTGCCTTTGAGAACCGGAGCCCAAGTTCGGGCGCCTTTTGGGTGTCCCGGAAAAACAAGACCCAAAGGGCGTACCCTCCCACCAATTCACGTGGAACCTACCAGGGGTGGAAGACCATATCTTCCTTTTCAAGGGAAAATCCGGGTCCCTGTCCAGGTTCCATGTGAATTGGTGGGTGCCAACTCAAAAAAAGACGAGCCGCCCATTTCAAAAGATCGGAAAGCCCCGAAAGATGGAGCCATGCGATGCAATTAGGGGAGGAATCAGAGCCTGGCACGGCCCGGATTCATCCGAAGGCACGACATCACACATACCTTCGTGTAGAACGAGCCGGTCCGATCACAAAAACACATCAGCAAATGGATGCGTTTGGGGTTCCATCTGCATGGTCAAAGCTTGTTGTGCGGGGCAACGGTCACAATTTGTTCAATACGAACCACGGTATTCTAACATCCCAACACTTCCAAGCTTCAAGCAACCGCGTCTTTTGGCCGCACCATTACATGTGTCGTGGGAAGAAAGTTTGTTCGAAAACCAGAAAACCCCTTGGATGGTGTTCATGCTGTGGATGGACGAAGTCCTGCACCACCTACGAAACCCTGGAACGATGATTCCCCCGTAAATACCCACAAACAATGGTTTCAACCATGGTTTCCAAGTGGTGCGAAATGGATTTCGCTTTTCCATCCACAGTAGGTGCAGCAAAAGGGTAGCCACCCATTGCACGTCTCCCGTGAGGGCCCGGCTCCGCAGCTGTCTGCGTGCTATTGCAAAAGATCAAGGTCTTCTGCCTTTGAGCGAGTGGGGGGGTTGTCAAAAGGAACCCAAAAAGTGGCATCGGTTTTTCTCTTGGTGTCCAGCAAAAACACAAGTTAGCCTCGAAAAAGGCAAGCCCAAGTGCAGTGCAGATTTGCTGACTTGGGAAAAAATGGGGAATGGATTGTTTGGGGCCATATTTACACATCACAAGAACATAGTGTGAGTAGTTTGCCCCCTATGTTCACCTTTGTCGTAGGAGTCACGGACGGTTCAAGATTTATGCGGTTCCTGCAAAGAACATGGGAAAATCGGTGAGCCCTCCTGGTTTGGGAGATTTAGCGAGTCCCGCAAGTCCCTCCCAAGCCGACCCTAGACCAAGCCTCAGTCGTGCCTTGGTGTTAGTGGAAGTTCTCTTAGAAGAATAGGCCTGGAAAGAAGCCGGCGCTAACCCGGACGGTTAGCCACATGTGTTGATCTTTCTGCTTTGGTCCTTCTCTTTCTACTTCTGCATCGTCTTCTTCTTCTTCTTCGTCTTCTTCTTCTTCTGCTTCTTCTTCTTCTTCTGCTTCTCCTTCTTCTTCTGCTTCTTCTCCACTTCTCCTTCTTCTTCTGCTTCTTCTCCACTTCTCCTTCTTCTTCTTCTTCTTCTTCTTCTCCACTTCTTCTCCACTTCTTCTCCACTTCTTCTCCACTTGTTCTTCTTCTTCTGCTTATTCTTCTTCTTCTGCTTCTTCTTCTTCTGCTTCCTCTTGTCTTCTTCTTCTTCTTCACCACTTCGTCTTCCTCTTTTATTCTTACTATTTGTATTCTTCTGCTTCTTCTCCTTCTTCTTCTTCTTATCCTCCTTCTTCTTCTTGTTATTATTGTTCTTCTGCTTCTCGTCTTGTTCTTCTTATTATTATTATTCTTATTTTTCTTCTTCTTCTTCTTCTTCTTCTTCTTCTGCTTCTCCTTCTCCTTCTCCTTCTTATTATTATTCTTCTTGTTATTCTTCTCTTCTTTTTTCTATTCTTCTTCCCCATCATCATCATCTTCTTCTTCTTCTTCCTCTTCTTCTTCTTCTTCTGCTTCTTCTTCTTCTTCGTCTTCTTCTTCTTCTTCTTCTTCTGCTTCTCCTTCTCCTTCTCCTTCTTATTATTATTCTTCTTATTCTTCTTCTCTTCTTTTTTCTATTCTTCTTCCCCATCATCATCATCATCTTCTTCTTCTTCTTCCTCTTCCTCTTCTTCTTCTTCTTCTTCTGCTTCTCCTTCTTCTTCTTCTTCTTCTTCTGCTTCTCCTTCTCCTTCTTCTTCTGCTTCTCCTTCTTCTTCTGCTTCTTTTCCACCTCTGCTTCCTCTTACTCTTCTTATTCTTCTTCTTCTGCTTATTCTTCTTCTTCTGCTTGTTCTCCACTTCTTCTTCCTCTTTTCTTCTTCTTCTCCACTTATTCTTCCTCTTCTTCTTCTTCTCCACTTCTTCTCCACTTCTTCTCCACTTCTTCTTCTTCTTCTGCTTCTTCTTCTTCTGCTTCTTCTTCTTCTGCTTCCTCTTGTCTTCTTCTTCTTCTTCACCACTTATTCTTCCTCGTCTATTCTTACTATTCGTATTCTTCTGCTTCTTCTCCTTCTTCTTCTTCTTATTCTCCTTCTTCTTCTTGTTATTATTGTTCTTCTGCTTCTCGTCTTGTTCTTATTCTTCTTATTATTCTTATTTTTCTTCTTCTTCTTCTTCTTCTTCTGCTTCTCCTTCTCCTTCTCCTTCTTATTATTATTATTCTTATTATTCTTCTCTTCTTTTGTCTATTCTTCTTCCCCATCATCATCATCATCATCTTCTTCTTCTTCTTCTTCTTCTTCTTCTTCTTCTTCTTCTTCTTCCTCTTCTTCTTCTTCTTCGTCTGCTTCTCCTTCTCCTTCTTCTTCTTCTACTTCTTCTGCTTCTTCTTCTTCTTCTTCTTCTTCTTCTGCTTCTCCTTCTTCTTCTGCTTCTTTTCCACCTCTGCTTCCTCTTACTCTTCTTATTATTATTCTTCTGCTTATTCTTCTTCTTCTGCTTGTTCTCCACTTCTTCTTCCTCTTTTCTTCTTCTTCTTCTCCACTTATTCTTCCTCTTTTCTTCTTCTTCTTCTTCTTCTCCACTTCTTCTTCGTCTTTTCTTCTTCTTCTTCTTCTTCTTCTTCTTCTTCTTCGTCTTTTCTTCTTCTTCTTTCTTGCTCTTCCTCATGCCTTGCCTGCAACCACTCTTGGATCTTTCCGCCAGCATCCCTGCACCGCACCCCACTTGGGGGCCCGGCTGCACATATTTGTGGCCCTTCGCCTGCGCAAGAGGTGTGAGAGTGTGGAGCTGAACAACAAACATCCAAAAATCAAAACCAAAACCACACTAAACATCCAAACATCCTACATGGCTTGTGCAACCCATCTAAACCAGTCTAGTCAACCCCCCCCCCTTTGGGGCCCGAACCCGAAACCCCGAAACCCTGAAGCTGCTCCGCACAACTCCTTCAGGAGCCTAGAGGCCACACTTTCCATGCGAGTTCTCGAACCAAGCCGTGGGGCAATGCCGCGAGAAGTACCTGGATGGCCTTTGTTGAGAACCCCGTCGGAAGCCAAACACCCGGGGTTCAACCCATTTTGAAAACATGTATCCTCAGCTTCCTGCTAATCGGTGGTTTGGCCGGTGGTTTGGTGGTTCAGGAGGGTCTCCCATTTACTCTCTACCAGAACCAGGGACCCGTTCAAATCCAAATCCAAACCACCAATCCAAACCACCAATTAACAAATACCTGAGATCTTGCCTTCGAAACCCGCTAAAACAAAAAGGAGTACGGAAGTCCAGGCAAAACATGCGTCTTCCGGCTCAATAACTCAACGACCAACATCTGGTTGTCAAAAGCCGGGCAGCTCTTTTCTTGCTGCTGCGATAGGCAGGGAACCCAGGTGTCCCCTTCAAGGAAACCAGAAGGGATGGTCTATAGGGTCATTCCCTCATTCCCTGCTGAGCAGCGGCAAGTTTTAGATGATCCGAATTTAAGTTGTTTTACCTCAAACCGATCGGCCACTTTGTAAGAACCGAAATCCTCTGCAAAAAAAGAGGCACGGAGAGCGTTCTGGCGCCAAGGTGTGGCTATAGTTGTACCGAGTCCCCGATGGCCTCAGGCAAGGGAGGTGACATTTCCGCAACTGGATGTGTCTTAAAAGGAGCCTTGCAACAAATGGGTGGGCTCCTTGTGGTCTCCTTTTAAAAATTTCAACCCACAGGGGGCCGAATCCCATTTGGAGAAACCACCAATGGCATTCGATGCCTTCTGGACGCCGACTTCCGTGTACAAATGCTGCAAGAGGAGCTTCACCTGATTGCAACCAAAGAGCCGCGGGTATCTGCCACCTATGCCAAAAGGTAGCTCTTCAAGTAGCCAGGTTCAGCTTCTTTGGGACGTTGTCTCCAATTTAGAAGCCGGGGAAAACAAACCTTGAGGGGTTCGTCTGCTCCACAAAGCACAAAACAACCGTCACAACTGGTGGTTTCCATAAAAGGATATGGGAAAATGAGGGCTCCGTCCTTCCGGATTCGGAAAATTTAGTTGAGTGCCCCGATGCCGACTCGCATGAGATTCTGGTTGTGGGACTGCAACCATTGTTGCCATCCCTTCTGCACCTCAGTTCAAATTGAGACATGACAGGGTCACTCGAGTGCCGGGGGAAAAAAAAACAAAAACAAAAACGGTCCGGAAGCTGGACACGGGCTGCGTCTCGGTTCCTATCTGCGCTGGGAAGCGCTGTGTCAGAGCTCTCTGCTTTGGGTCAACGTCCCATTGAAAAACCCATCCTTGAGGCAGCCTTGGCCACTCCCCCCATTGCAAGTGGCTGTTGGGAGCCCCTCAATGTCCATGCTTGTGCAAAAACCTTCAAAGAAGCCACAATCAGGACTCTACCCGAACCATGTAAAGAATCCCACAATGGCGGATATCCACAACGGTTTCCAGTTGGGACTGTGCTAAAACTGCCATGTTCCGAGTCTCCGTTTGAGTCGACACATGTCAAATTGCAGCGGAGTGAAAAGCGAAGCCCCTTGTATTGCGGATGCAAAAAACAGCCCCAGCTTCTCCGAATCTTCCAAAGTCGCCTTCTCGTCGAAGCCCTCGGGCACGTACTTCCACTTCATGGGCACCATGGGGTGGTTACGATGCAGCAAGTCTGGCCTGCCCGAAAAAACAAAGCAAAAAAAGAACACACAGCGCCTGCGCGTCGGATGGCTTCCCAAAAGGCTCATCTTGAAAACTGGCGTTCCAACCCAAAACCATATGGGAGTGTATTGTTTGGGGGACCCCAAAAAGATACTTAAAACCACAAAAAAAAGGTGCCAACTCAAAAAAAAAAACAAAACGACCCCCTTCCCAAACCCATGTCCTGCACCCCTCCTTTGGCCCCCTCGAAGACAAAAAAAACGCACACGCATCACGGCCTCTCGGCTTCCCGCAGCGCGTGGGGCATCCATCTGCCGATCAGCATCCGCGTGGACCTTCACGCGACCGAAGGCGCCCTGGGAAGGCCGAAGGGACCTCCGGGCGCCCCGAAGATTGCATCCCAAGATCAGGTGTTTGCATCCCAATCCCCAGATTTCGTGTATGAGCGGAAACACAAGAAATCTGGGTTGACTGGGGGGTTGATAGTGGGAAACACACTGGGGGGTGGGTTGACTGGGGGGAAACACCCTCCAAAATTCTAGGGTAATATTTCTAGAAATTCGGAGGATTTGTTGGTTGGATCTGGGCGATATCTCAAGTGAGGTCAGTGGACAACTTCTGAGGGTCCCCTTTGAAAAAAAAGAATCTCTAGGGGTTGATTCCTTGTCCATTCTTTTCAGCCATCGTTCTTTTCAAAAACCGATCGCCATTTCCAACCAGGGTGTTTAGTGGTTTTCTAGAAAGAAGGATCCCTGGAAAGAATGGGGAAGTTACCCCTAGAATATTGTAAGCAAACCAAGCCCACTCAACCTACAAATAGGTTGCGGGGTTCCCTTTCCCTCTACGGATGTCCCGCTCTGCAGATCGGGTTATAGCTGAGCAGCAGCAAGTGTTGCAAGTCAACCAACCAGACTCAACCACCAAGCCATGAAACAGGGAAACCTAAGCGACAGCAGGCGGGGTGCCCTTGTTCCCCTTGCAATATTTGGACATCCGTAGGTTCTCTATTCGCGGTTGGGTTTTTTGGCGGGCACCCCTAAAAGGGGCCAACATGGGGCCAACTTACGCGGGAAGCAGAAGGAAAACAAACCCGTTTAAAATAGAGGGACACCAAAAATAACTTTCGGGATCTTTTTTGGGTGTCCCTTTTAACCAACCCCAAACAGGGTATCATGTAAAAAATAAATCAAAATATAAAATAAGAAACGCAAACGCCCATATGTTTGCTGAGGGGCTGAGCGTCACAAATATGTGTCCGACTAGGCAAAGGGACATCAGGTGGATGGATGTCCAGTCGGGATGAATAACACCCCATGAAAAATATCCGATAAATTGTCCACCAATTAACATGGAACCTGACAGGGGGGTCCCTTTAAAAGGAATATGGCCTTCCAGGCGCCCTTGTCAGGTTCCATGTTAGTTGGTGGTAGGGTAAACCACCCAACGAAAGGCGCTGTATCGGTTATCATCTGGATTCTCTATGGAGTCCCAACAGGGTGGCCATGGCGCATGTGGAGCAAGCTCCAGGAATGCCTCCGGAAATTGGCCGCTTCTGGGGGGCGTTTCTGCGAAGGTTCCTCTTCTTCTGCTTTTTGTTGCTCTAAGCTTCTTTCTTGGAATATCGCAGCACGGGTGAGTCTGCCGACAGTCTGCCTGCTTTCAAATTTGGGATGTGTCAAGTATGGAAAAGACGACAGTAATCGGTGGTTGCCTCTTGGTTTGCCTGCAAAACAACTGCGCAAAGAGCTGCCAATCTGCAGAGATCGGTACTCAAACAACTTGTTCATTCGGCCAATGCAACGATTGTGCCGACTGCGAACAGTTGTGGCTCAGTGTGTCAGCTTCACTCACTAGGTGATTTGAATTCGTAGTTTGCTGGTGGGGCGGTGGTTTTCAAATTTACCCCTCTACAAGAACCAGTGAGTGGTTCAAATCCCCCAACCAATCCGAGCCACCAACTAAGGGTAGCCTGAATGCTGGCTCGTTTTGTCTACGTGTCCATGGAAAAATTAAGCCCAGGTAGTATCCCCAACAACCTCGGAACTCTTTGGAACACTCCAGAACCCTGAAAGCTGCCTCAAACCACCCCCACAGCATATCTGGGCCTATCGACCAAATCCATCGCTTTCAGGTCGCAGAGAACCATCAGATGGAAAATTCACATGCACACGCCCTCTTCGATGGCTTCCAGGTCGCCGTGCACGCGCCATTCCGGGGCTCCGCGCTTGCCGCCCTGGTTCGGCATCACACAGCTCACCAGCGCAGTCTGCGGTCACTCGTGTGGGTGCCATGGCCGTTTCCTTTCACCTTCCTTCTCTGTTTTTGTTTTTCCTGGTTGTTGTTTTTCTGTTTTTGTTTCTCAAAACCCCGAAGGGGTAATGATTATCCTACCGGTGCTTGCTTCAAAATTTGTTTTGGTGTAGCCCAATAGAGTGTTTAGACCATGGCACATATGTATATGTATAAAACCGTGCGTTTGTGTGTGCCTGTGCATTTTGGCCAGCAGACCGGCCAGCGGATCAACTGGCCGACCGGCCAAGCCGTTTTTCAAGGGCACCCTTTCTTGGATCGGTTTCTCCCAAGCAAAGAGGCCACCCTCAAAGCCACCAACCAAACAAACCAACAAACCTATATGGGCATGAATTTTCATTAATTGGGGGGCCCTCTGGTGGACATCATTCGGCCAGGGCTCCACTTTCCAAAGGGGTTTATCGTATGTTCAAGTTTCATGGCCATATAAACTGCGCGCGTGTGGGGGGGGGGGGGGGTTGTATCTGTGGCCTGGTATTGCACGAGCAGTCAACACAACATCCCCATCATGTTCAGAACCCCGCGAACCCAACCTGGCCCAAAGATGGGTCGGGTGAACAATCTCAATCCAAACTTAGGGCCGTTTTCCCCTTGAAACACCACCCCCAAGGACACTCACGTCGCATAGCCCAACATTGTCATTTTGAAACCACCAGAAAAATGGCAATAGAGCTGGATGTGTCTCAGAACGGTACCCATGGCACCCCTTTAGATACTAATTCACCCCAGTTTATTCATACGGGCGGTGAAATGTGGGGAATCAGACCACCTTTGGAGGGGCCAAAACCACCCCCCTGTTGATAAACTGGGGTTGACTAATATGGGGCCAACAATACCCTCCCAACAAAAGCAACTCACCAGCTGGACCGATCCCCACCGAACGGCCTGCACTTTGGCACCCTCGGTGCGCTGGGCCCGCAGCAGCATCACCTTCACCCGCTCGATGAGCTTCCTCGAGCGGGTTTGTTGCACTCAAAGTCACAAGAGCAAACAAATGGGCATGTTAACCTCGTATCATATTTTTCAAATTCAATACAACTTCCTTCTTTTGGTCAGTTGAATTGCTGTGCATGTGACTATTGCTATACAACCCCGAAAGAGGGTCCCTGGAGGAAATTGGTGTTCGACCCCTCCCGTCGCGATATTTGTGGGAGGCTTCACGAGAGTGCCGCAAAAATAGAAGCGGGTTGGATTTGTTCAGCTACCCTGAAATTAGCGGCTTGGGTGGGGGGGGCCGATATGCCCTCTACAAAAATTCCACGGGTTCACATCCCCAAACCACCAATCCATCCCAACAACTCAGGGTGACCTCATTGTTCAAGGATACACTTTCTGGGTGGATTTCCGGGAACAGCAGAAGGGAAATCCCTCTTCTGTCACATACCCAACTCACACACACCCGACTTGCAACCGGCCCTCAAGTTGGGGTACTCGAAGAAGGGAACTTCCTGACGCAGCGAGAGGTATGGCTACCAAAAGAACATATGTACACAAATGTACGTCAATGTCAATGTTGCTTCAGAGTTCTGAAGCCAGCCCCAGCTAGAACATTCAACAAGTGAAAGATATGAAGCGGATTCTCTCAACAATACTCTGAGGAACCCGGCGCAACGGTGCCCGAGACGAGATTGTCCACCTGATCCGCATCGCTGGATACTGTCAGACGAGCAACGAGCAGTATGGGCTTGTGTCGAAATAGACGAAGACCCCAAGTGATGTTCATGTTGATTTCCCTTTAAACCAAGATGAAAAGGGGGAAAAGCCATACGAGACTACCCACCAACTAAAACCACAACTGCCAGCAATCTTCTCCGCTTGCCAAAACTTCGGTCAGAAGGCAACGTGTTGACCCTCTGACCCTCGAGCACCTCGTCATAGACAATGTACCGGATGTTGGCCCAGAGGGAGATGTGCTTCCTGGCGCGCGAAATCAATCGCGCGGACGCGCGTGTTCGGCCAAAACAGACCATGGAAGCTCCGGACTACGGGGTAATGTCGACCGCAGATTACTCAACCAGTTTTACTAACATGGGGGGTGTCCCTCCAAAAGTGGTGCGAATCCCCACTAAAAGGGGACAGGTCCTGATCAAAATCAACCAGGGTTTTTATCGGACTCAACACCACCTGGTATGGAATCGTCAGAGGGTACGATCCGACCATAGTCCCGCCTGGTGACCCTTTTTGGATGGGGTCATCATTCTGTCGCTGACAGGCTGGTCTCTTACTTGCAGCCGAATAGGACAATGGTGCTATGTTCCTTAGCATGTAGGGAACCAAAGCACCAAATATCAGCTTGTATAAAACGCACTGGCCAAGGAACTATGAGTCCTGTATCAACCCACAGTGCTTCAGCCAACATCTAGATGTCCAAACTGTCGAACCGTCTTGACCGCAATTGGGCGATTCAACCTCTCGTTCAACATCTCGTTAAACACAAATTGCTGTTTTCCCTTTAAACAGACCGCCAAACCCAGTTGGCCCCTCTGCCACAACGACTTCTTTTGGTCCCACCCACCCCACCTCCCACCCACCCCACCTCCCACCCACCCCACCTCCCACCCACCCCAGCCCACACCCCCACCCCAGCCCACACCCCCACCCCAGCCCCACCGAAACAGGTTCGAAACGACTTGGCTCGAAGCGGGACCGAAGCGGATTCCCCGCGCTTGTGGAAGAAGTAGCCCATGAACTCCGGGGTGGAGACCACCACGTCCCTTCGATTCCAAAAACATCAAGTGAGTTTGGACCCATGCGCGGACTATCAAGGTGAGTCACAATCAAAACCCAGTACAAAAATGGTGAACCTAGAACCGTGTAAAGGATCATCCCTCACCAACCTTCATTTACCTTGTGACTCAGGTGGTGAGCAGTGCCGAAAATAGGGTACATACACCGCTCTACTAACAAACCAATTAGGCTTCGTTTGGAGAGGCCCTCAATGAACTCCTTTCATAAGGGTTCTTGGCGCTGCTCAGGTGATGATCAAGGGTGAAGGGTAGTGATCAAGAGCATTGCCCTTCCTTCCACGAACACGGCACCTGTGGTGGGAGGGTACCTAGAAAATAAGTGTCCCCTTCGAGGGAACCGTGTCAAGTGCCATGCTAGTGAGAGGAAGGGTATCAAGGTTGAGGGTGGTCATGGCTCGGGAGTCCAACAGGAGTTCATTTCCCCTCGCATGGTCTCGATAGCTAAGGGAACCAGTCTTGGGACCAACATGCCTGACAGAAAAGGGGGTCCAAGAAAAACGGACTCCCCCATACAAAACGGCAAGCTCACGTATTAACTTGCTTTCTGCGGCAAGCCAAATGCTCTCGCCAGAAACAAGCCCATAGTGAGTGACATTCTCAAGCCTTTTCCGAAGCAAGAATGGTGGGTCGAGGGGGTTCACAAGCTACACAAACCAAAATGCCCAGATTCTGTCAATTCTGATTCATTCGAGCAGCCGCGTGAAGGGGCCCGGCAAAAAGATGCCCTTCTTTTCTGCCACTTGCAGCCCAGCTGCGGCCGCTCATCGCCTTTGGGAAAAGGCCTCAGAGCCCGCGCCGAAATCTGGTCGCGTCCCTTGAGGTCGATGACATATGAGGCTTCCCGAGATACCAAGCCAAAGCGGGCTGGATTTTCTGGTGGTTTGGAGGTTAGGAGATAGCCTCCCATTTACGCTCAAGAACCAGGGGTTCAAACCCCCAAACCAACCCAAACCACCACTTGGAGCTGACCTGATTGTGGCCCAAGGTGCGAGCTTACCTGATTGTGGCCCAAGGTGCGAGCTTAGGCTTTCTGATCCGGTCCAATGTCAAGAAAGCAAGGCGCGACATCAGTTGCGCCCCCCACCAAAACCGTACTCATTGTCGTTTGTTTGCAGCCCCCGCAAAATAAGAGCACCAAAAAACGTCAAAAACGAACCAGACCGAAAAAGAACAACATGGACCAAACTCCGACAAACATCAGCAGCATCAAGAAATACAAAAGAAACAAAGTTCTGACTCTTCAAAGCACCACTCTGGTGCTACTGAGGCCTTATTCGCAAAACGGTGCCTCCTTTTTGCCGCATAAGGGTTAGTGCCAAAATGGGAGGATTGCCCAGCTCCACTGGGCAGCTCCCCTCAGCAGCTGATGGGAGTAGGATTGATGCCACTCCCACAGCGAGGGAGGAATCCTCCCACCTCACCGGATGCCCTCCCGGCATCATGGGTGAGGAAGGAAAGTAGCGAAGATCAGTGTGATCAATTCGCTTTCGACTGAGGGGAAGACCCGGTTCTCAGTCGGAAATTGCGGGTCCGGATGAGTAAGTTCATCCGCCCACGTGTTAAAGTCGCGCTTCACATGCGACGGCCCCAACATGACCTGCTGGTCATGCAGCGTTAACACAATTTCCATGAGGATGGCCGCATTGGGCATCCTGCGAGTGGAATCGTTAAGGGGAGAAAACATTTCCCTGGTTATCACTAGCAACCAGGATCCTAGTGTGAGAAGCCGAGCCGGCTGCACAAAGCAGAACGGCCCTCACCAAAAGGAGGAGGCCGAAGAGCTCCAAGGCCGCTATCGCCCGCTGCGGGTCTCCAGTAGTGAAGGCCCACGGCTCGCCCTCCGGTGTGATTCTGTGCTGGAACCACTTCACACGGGACTTGTCGGGGTTGGGCACGTCCGAGCACCAACCACCAACCCATGCATGGTCTGCCTGTCTGCCAGCTCCCGCATCAGATGCCCCCGTCCATGGGAGTGTGGGAGCAAATGGAGATGCCAGTGGGAACCTCTGGTTGAAGAGTCTCCCCAAAAGGATGGCCAGAGCACGAACCAGCTTCGGTGGCCTGCCCGAAGTGGTGCAGGCCTTCTTCCAGCTCCAAAAGGGCTGGAGGAAAGGTTTCGTCAATGGGCACGCCGAAGTAGCCCATTGAATACGGCCTAGGGCTTGTTCCACCTCCTTGCTGGTGAAGATGTCCCCCTGGGCCAGCCGTTTAAGAGTGGCCAGGATTATGACGTGTTTGACTGGAGCCAGCAGTACACAGGGCGTGATTGGGTCCACCACAAAGCCCAACCAGGTATTGATCGGGGAGAGCGCCGTCTTTTTCCAGGAAAGCGGGACTCCCAGCGCCAGCAGTGTAGCCAGGATGGCTGTGGCGTCCCAGTCCGCCCGGCTGCATCTGAGGACCCAGCAGTAGTCGTCCACAAAGACTAAGTGCCAGTCCACCTGAGGGAAGATGTAGTACAAGAGTCTGAGCACCAAGGATGCCTTTCTTCCCCAGTACAGTTGTGCCGAGGCCATGCCGTACGTGCCCACTCTGTTGACCCACCCCCGGTTTTGGATGCAGGCCACCTGGTATTTCCAGTCTTTCGGGAGCACTTTTATACGCCTGTGGGCCTTGGTGACATCCGCCTTGAGGATGATGAAGGTTTCCCCCTGTGTCGGCGGCTGCCACATCAGGGGTTCCCCCCTGCTCCCCCCAGGGCGTTCCGTGTTCGGGGGGGTTGGGGGGAAAAAATAGAAGAAGTAGGGGGCCTGGGGGGAAGTCTGTTGAGGGTTGCCTGTTATGGTTTTTATGTTCATCTCAAATCTATGTTCCCCCTTATTCGTTTTGAAAAGAGGGTTTTTAGGGAGCTTATTTATCGTTTTCGTTAAGGTAATCATTTGGGTAAATTGTCGCCTTGTTCATTGTTGGGCTGGGGGCAAACATTTTTTTCATTTGAAAGAGTTAGCCCTTTTAGTAGTTATCAAGTTCTGGGGTGTTGGTGGGTCGTTTGTTTCTTTGACGTTTATCTCTACAATTATTTATTTTTGTTCTACACTCTTGACAATATTTATATCTTCTTCCACTTTTTACATTTCCAAATTCATCAATTGTTTTATCATAAAGACATCTGTTGCATTTGAAGAATTCACCATAGTCTTCTGTTGCTTTTTCTTCTGTCATTCCATAATTATTCATTATAGTTTGCTTCACAACCATTTCTTAATATATCTTAACAACTTCTTTTTATGTGATTTTTATGTGATTGTCTAGCTATGTTTTATAGGTTAAAAGTTCGCTATAATTATAACATATAAGATTTTACATGTTATAATTATGGTTTAGTTATGAATTACACAGGTTCATCAACAATTAGTTTAAACCTTATGTTTTGTACTCCTCCAAAATTCATTCTACTTCTTTCATCATCAATACATCTGTATATTGTTTGATGTGCCTCCATCATTACTTCTGTTATATTATCTATGGTTATATTATCTACAAAATCATCACTACGAAAATAAAAACTAAAAGTGTTAAAATGGTTGTCTTCATAATTGAAATGATGAAACCTTACAAACATATTTACCTCAACTATTATCACTGTTTCATAACCGTTATCGGTTTCAATGCCATCTAACAAACAATCTAAGTTTTCATTTTCATTAAACACTATATCTTTGATGCTTTTTATGCTTAAAGGTATATTTCTTGAAATGTAATACTCAATTACGTGTCTCTTTATATCATCGCCATCTTCAACAGTATAGCGCTTTGTCTTTCTTTTTGTTTCTGTTCTGTCTATTTTATATCGTTGTTGTATTCTCTTTAATGTCTTAATATGATTATGTTTTATTTTCAAATACTCAGGTTCTCCTAATTTACATGAAATGATACCTTTTAATACATCAACAGGTAAGCTAGCGCAATTCTCAACCATAAAATTATTCTCTGACATTTTACCCCCACTCATTTTTCTCTTAATATATAAGGTTTTTTCTCTTTAAGTAGTTTTGGCTAGGGGTTGCTGGTCGACTGGTCTGGGTTTCAGGTTTAATTTAAATGTCTGTGTGAGCCAGACCTTGCTGTGTGAGCCTGACTGTGTTGTGTGAGCCTGACTGTGTTGTGTGAGCCTGACTGTGTTGTGTGAGCCAGCCTTGTTACTTGAGCCATTCTCCCCTTAATTGGGGAGTTCGCCCCCCTTAATTGGGGAGTTCGCCCCCCTTAATTGGGGAGTTCGCCCCCCTTAATTGGGGAGTTCGCCCCCCTTAATTGGGGAGTTCGCCCCCTTAATTGGGGAGTTCGCCCCCCTTAATTGGGGAGTTCGCCCCCCTTAATTGGGGAGTTTACCCACCGTTTTCAAATCCAATGATATAACATTATAACCGAGCGACTTTGCTACTTTACCAACTGAAGAAGTACCACTAAATAGTTCTAATAAGTGCATATATTATTAGAACTATTTAGATATTAATATTTTCACATACATATCGTTGATGTTTTTCAGTTCTCTCGTGTCTTCTTATATCACATTTCCTGAAAACACCACCACATTCACATTCAATAGGTTCTTTTCGTTTTTCCAATATTGTTTCTTTGTTTTGGTGGTAGTGCTCCCTACTTTTATTACATATATGTTCTTTGTTGTTTTCTGCGTATTCCTTCCTCATATTTTGATAGTGTTCCTTATTGTCTTCCTTCCACTCATTAATTGTTCTACCTGCCACACATCTATTCACACAATCATTATTTTGAATGTAATAACCTTCTCTTTTCATTAACTGTTCTCTGTTTTCACATGGGTAGTCTTCTAATAATTCAATCTTACAGTTGTCCATTCCATATTCATCAAACAACAAACGACAGTTTGTTTTATTATTCCATTGTTCTGCCTTGTTATAATTTTGTCTATGTCTTGCCATTCTTTGGCTCAAGCTTTCACAGGTGCTTCCGATGTAGCACTTATTATAACCAACATCTGTTATTTTGTAAATCTTTGCGTTTTTATATTTACTGCTATCCATTAATAACCTTAGTTATCTTTTCTTTAACGCAGTTTATAATGTCCATAAGGCAGTGAATTGAAAGCATCAATGTAAAACCTTTTATTTTCATAATTACTGAGTGATTGCTTGACTTGAGACATTGAAAATAATTGATGGTTGCGACTACGAATAAAATTATATGTTATTTCATGCTTTTTGTTTTGAAATAATGCTTCGTGGTAGTTTTGGTAAGTCAGTTCTTTCTTCACCTTGTGTTTCACTACACCTTTTGATTTCTTTTGTTCTTCTTCTTCACCGTGTATTGTAAAAGCATACGATTTAGGCTTTAACCCTATGAATTGTGTTATTGTTTGACCGTTGCACTCATCCTTGAAATAACCGAGTTTTTTCTTATTTGTTTTGTCATGGCAGGGGTGTTCAGGTGGATAATCGCTAAAGTCCATATATTGGTTTAATTCTTTGAAGTCCTTGTAGATGTCCTCAGTGAATGTTTGAATTACATAACTGTCAGTATCAGTATAAACCAGTTTGATGTTTTCATTGTATTTCTTCTTAAGAACATCATAGTAGAACTGATACATATGTAATTTACTGATGTCAAGGATTGTCATTCCTAAGAAAATCGGTTTGTCCAGTTTCAGTTTTTTTTTTTCAACTCCTACAAGGTTTTCATTAATAATAAATCTATTTTTGAATGTTGGATTATTAACACATTTTTCGTATCTAACTTCATTATCAACTAATTCAAAGTCCATATGATTTCGTTTGTCTTCCATAGTTTTTCCATACACAGAATT